TTGACATTGGCAATACTAATCTGTCCCGCGACAAAACATGTGAAATAGCGTTGCACCGATAAACGTCGTTCATTAAACTCTTGGTGGTAGTCGCTGGGAAGCTCGGTTTTATCTCATTTCATTTTATTACCCTACCCCTCGGCTAGGCGGGCTGGAAATGAAACATGTGCAATAGAGACCATTTTACTGAAAGTGGGCAAAGGAAGATTGAGGAAGGGCTGCCGCTCGCTTTTCTCCTCGCTGGGTAGGAGCGAAAGGGAGAAAGACCCGGATTAACCCGCTGGATGCGTTCTTTGCACGACATTGCTGTTTTCTATAGTTCTGCTTTCCCATTTTTTTCATTAAAGAAAAATGGTTTTAATTTCTTAGTTAATGATCTTCGGGGCACAATTGCGCGAATATGTATTCTCCAAATTACAACAGACAGCCTAAAACAATCTGTCAAACGTTCTCGCGCACGTGAGCCATGCACCAAGGCAAGCGCGGCTGCGAAGTTGTTAGGCTCTATCATCTTTCAAAGTGATCTAGGACCCCTCGGTCAGTGGGTTTGCGCTTGTAAATTGAAGCCTTGTGCCCATCACCATCATATCGAATGTGCTCGCAACGTTTATTGAACAAAATGTGCACTGCGTTCCACCCCGTAACTGCACTAAGCAATACCATTTGTCCTTTTTTACTCGCACACACTCCCGCATCGTTTAGCTTACCGCAGAACAGCTATCCTTGCTCCGTTTTCTTCTGAAAAGTCAAGTTGATGTCAACTTAACAAGTGAATTCGGTCTCAGTCAAGCCGATCTGAAGACAGTTAAAGAGTCCCTAGTTTCAATTTGGTAGTAGCGACGTTGCCCGCCGAGCCTACAATGACTCCGGATTTCAGGAACGCTCATAACTAAACATCCAGCGCGACCGAAAATACGCTTTACATTCTGTGTTGCCCGACTTGAGGAGGAAAATATTTTTTATGACTCTTTAGGTGGGAGCATTCCCGGCTTATTTCAAGGCGATAATAATAACCTTATGGAGACCGACATTTTTTCTTGATTGCATGTAATCAGGATATTTAACGCGCTATAGTCCATCTAAGAATTTGTTCTGGCCACGAGTTGAAAAGTAAAGGGCATGTGCATCAATGGATCCTGCCGCTTATATATTGATTTCAGCAATGGTGGAATTACTTAATAATGATGCATCGTTTAGTAGCTTAATGATTATTAGTTCGATCGGGTGAAATGTTTGTAAAAGTTTGTTTTATTTATGTTTCTGGATGGCAATTTCTTGCAGGACTGCAGAGAACTGGTAAATTAACATGACATCATAGCACAAATTCATTATTTTTGCAAACTGTATTTGTATACAAAGTACGTGGTAATCAAAATGCGAAAATTAAAGTTTCCACAAAAATACTTTTAATTATAAGCAGAAGCAAAACTTCCAATAGGAGGCAAGCTCATTCAGAAATTTTAAGCAACTGAACAACTGAGCAACTTGCGTTTGCAGCGGGCTCATCTTGAAAAAAGTGATTTCAATTGTGGACATGTGACATATCCGTGAGTAACGTTCCGTCGTTATTCTTCTAGACTGACAGCATGGTAAATTGGTGCACGATGAAGGCTCTAGAGGGTTCCGGGTTTCAGACATTTATTTACTCTACCAACTATCCACGAGTTTACGTACAAGTAAGAAAAGTTTGCATCTCGGTCCAACATTCTTACGGTCGTTCCAAAGCGAGCAAAATTCGCCCCTTCCCACCCCGTCAAGTATTTGAAACCTCGTGCCTTCTCGCCTTTGGGAATATGTCGGTCAACAGGTTTGAAACTTTTCGGAGTCACGTGGTGTTAATCGTCCAATAGCCTGCACGGCGCATGCAGGCACATTCGTCAAGTCCCTAACGGACCCGAGGTAACAGAACCTTAGCTTCGACAGCGGTCGCCCTCACCGCTTTCATGGCCCCACAGCGAAACCCAATCGGCCTCGGTTGAAACCTAATCGGCTACGGAGGAGGCATCCAGCGGCAGCCGTTTCCGTATACAAACAAAAAGAAAACATTCCTCGCGCACAGCCACCACCCCGGGGGTTGACCAACATGCCTCGACCCTGCAGTGGCGTAGCCAGGGGGGAGGGAGGGGGGGGGGGGGGGGAGCTTATATGGCTTCAACCTCCCCCCCTCCCCTTGGAAATGCAGGCGACCCTATAATTAAAATAATATTTAAAAAGCGCAACGAGACAAGGGCAAGGCAGATAGATGGTGACACAGAACTAAATTAAGACTTAACAGTAGTATTTCCTTAGTCACCTAATAATTGCTCTTCTTCGTGTGATTTCAATCGTGGTGGCGCCAGTGTGTCAAAAGCCCCCAACCACTTTCAGTTCTGAACTAGGTGGCGGGTTTCGCAGTATTTGCAAAATCAAATATACACGCTATCTTCAGGAAATGTTCACCTTTAGAACTGGCAGACCTAATTCACTTTTATGATAAAAGAAGGATGAGTAAAAATTAGGAAATATACGTGAACCTGAAGTGTGCCGGGGCTACCTAATAGATGGGGACACTGAGTTTGCTGCCAGAACAAAAAAGGCCAAATATATAACCGGGTGTCGACAAAAGACAAGCCAGTGAAGGAACACTAATACACAACGTTGAAAGGCTTAATGTTGTTATATCACTCATCGACAGCAAAACAAACTGCTCTCCCTCGGTCTAGAAACCTAAGTAAGTCTAGAAACTTTGTTTATCAGCTGCAAATAAAATTTGAACCGTTTCTCGTTTTGATGGATCGTTTCCATTCGTGATTTTGTTTCCATCGATAGAAGCCGTTTAAGCGGCCGCACACGATAATTCACCGAAATGCAGCGCCATTTTTTCAAATATATTAACACAGAAATACATCCGCCGATTTTTGACATAAATAAATACCTGAAACTATACGGAGTACCTGTAATGTTCACATGCATTCTAACCGCCCCCCCCCCCTCCCCCACCCACACCTCCGCGCCGCAAGTCATAAACATCCCAGCAACTTCAACACCCCCCTCCCCCCCCCCCCCCAAAAAAAAAAATTTAAATAAATACATAAATAAATGAACAATTTTTTGCTACGCCGCTGCCCTGGGGTGCGTTCTCGACTTGAAGAATATAGACAGGTAAGGCACCCGCTGAACCCCTCAATGACTGAAAAGTGGCGCCATTCGATGTGGTGGAAATGCTCAAGGCACGTGCCGCGCCAATTCTGCAAAGAACATGGCGTTTGAAATCTATCTCTGTGCTACGCTTTGCCGCCATAATCTTCCCAAGGGCTGCAAGTTGCACCTGCCTCATGCATCGTCGCACACTGCGCTACTTTTAAATCATAAAGCGGCTTTATCTCCCTCGCGTATCCATCGCTAACATACCGTCACCGATAAAAAACGAACACCAGTAATGTTCAGGGAGCGGCGTCGCCGAACCTTACACCGTGGATACGCTGCAATCGAATGAATCGTTTTCAAATATGAGAAGTAATTAAATTAATGCAACAATAAGACGCGCCAGCGAGTCAAATTTGTATTTATTATTTCGGATCTGTGTACTATAGGAAGTAATATTATATATTCCGATTCAAAAGAGCTACCGTCACATGCCACTAAGACCTGAGCCACCACATATCGCGTTTTATCACTGGCGTGCTTCCCTTATGCATATTTTATATTCTTATGAGGCACGCGGGAAAAAAGTTTTTTTTTTGTTGTTTTCAGTGCACCTGCGTTTGCATTTACAACCGAAAACAAACAGTGAGTGAAGCGTGAAATTTACGTTTTCTTGTTTTTTTCTTATTATTGTTATTTCTGTCATTGTTGTTGTCTCCCTTAACAGCTTGGCAGTGCCATAACCCCAGGAAATAATGTTCACGGTGCTTGCTACCGTAAACACGGATAAAAGGAATTTCAACACACGAACCGCGGCGGGGCCGCAGAATTTACAGCCGCGCAACAAGGTCATGTTTTGCCCAAACCCAGCATGACCGCAAACCCTGACGTACTCCAGGGGCGCTACGATGTTCAACGTGGCGCTGGCCAGGAAAAAAACAACATCATCTTATAGGAGCTTAGACTGTTCTCCTCCCCATTCCTCTATAATGAAATCTCTATGGTTCGTAGCTTTTAATGTTACAAAAACAGAACTACCAAGAAGCACATATAGTATAGTCTAAACTCTAAACTGTAACAGTCGCTTTTATTGCAACCCAGAAGTACAATCACGTTTTGTTTTGAATGAACTTTGATGAAATAAGAAAACAGGATAAGAAGTGTTTTGTCAGTGATCCAAGATTTGAAAGAAAACTCGAATGTCGCTTTCTCACGACCCATGACCTATAGCTGTGCTCTTACTAATATTAATTGTAAAATACCACCTCTTTTTAATTGGACGTCAAAATGTAGAGTTTATCGGATAAATCGGAGTTGAGAAAGCATTTACCGGCGACTGTTCTCCGGAGTTATTCATTTTTATCTGAAAACACGGAGCCCTAACTTTAGCTCATATCAGGCAATGACAAAAGCTTATAACTTGCCCAGTGATAACGCGATTCAGAGCTGTTACTGTAGATTTATAAGTATCGCCCGTCTTTTTCCTACCAAGCCGTAAAAAAAAAAAAGAAAAGAAAAATTGAGCGAAAAAAGGAAGTAACGAATTTACAGCGTTTCCAGACGCGAGCAACTCAACGTTAGAACACCTCCAAACAACGGACGCCGTCAAAACCCGTTATCCAAAGCCGATCGCAACGCCTCCGCATTCCGGGGGCTTCCCCATTGGTACGCTGCAAACCACGTGACCGTGCCGTCACCAGAGAGGGGGTGGAGATACGCAACACCCAAAAGAAAAAAGAAAAAAAAAAAACATCGTGCCGCCCTGTTAAAAAGACAAATCAAAACAATACCAGAACGAGCACGCACGCACACACATTGGCGCCGGAGGCCACTTGTGCCGCACGGCCGCCCGCCCACGGCTAGGTAGCGCTCGCGTCAGCGACACTGAGGGTACAAAAAGCTTCGCGCGCGAGCTCCGGAGATTCCGACTCCGGAGTCCGGACCCGCCGCGCACCCCTTTCGAGTCGGACCCCTTGCACGCGCGGAGAAGTTGACCCGTCGCGCAACAAAACAAAATCCGACGAGCGATAAGAACGCGAGAGGAGCGAGCTGCGAAACGAGATCCAAAGTCTGCGCTGACACCTCAAGTTTCTTTCCTCGGACTGTTCGACGGAAAGTTTGGTTGTCCGCTCCGGCATCGCCTGCTGTAGTCGTCGTCTTTGGTTTTCGTAGGTTGTTGTTGGTGCGGAATTGGAGGGAAGAGCGCGGAGATTCTTTTTGTGTTTATCTTCGTCCCCCCCGAGTATCCAAAGAGGGAGCGAGCGGCAAGTCAGGAGGACCGACGACGAAAAACAAAGAATCTTCCCCACGTCTCGAAAAACGACCTGAGAGCGTCCCTTCAACCGCTACCGAAGAAAGACCTGCCAAAGTAGTGAGTACCTTTTTTTTTTTCTTGTGAGATGCAGGTTCGGAGTAACACTTTCAACGAAGAGGTATGAGAAACTACATTAGCTAAACATTTTTGCTTTAAATTCCTGTAATTTGGACCGTTTCTCGCCAGTCTTCATGTAACTCAATGAAAAAGAGAACCGCAAGTTGCATTGCAAAAAACGAAGTGCGAACAATTTTTTTTTTACCCAGGAAGTATTTACGATTTACTGAAAAATAAAATTTTAGTAACAAAAGTTTTACATGGAAAACATTACCCGCTACTTTAAACGAAAGACCGATAAAAAGAATGCAATATTTGTTCTGAATATATGTGAGTTGGAACTTGCTTATGAAACTACATTCTTTGCGGTGGCCGGTGTACGCTGTTAGTTACTATGTACTTAAATTAGCGTAACTTTTTTCGATCTGCTACATTTCCAACGAAATGGTTTAAGAGCAACAACCAAGTGTTTTTTGCTTCAAGTTTTATGAGGAATGGGGCTTCCAAATAAACCAATCAACCCACGCCATTGATTGCCTCGCTTTATGAGAAAAAAACAGAAAAGGACTAAAAAAAAACGAAAAGTTTATTTCTGGGAACACAATTGAATATTAATTGTTTTTTACTTAGAAACTATTCAGCATTCATTGAAAAATAAATCTGTATGAAGAATAAATCATTTCCCGCGAAACCATTGCTTCTTCCTATTTTGCACGCAAGAAACTTCAAAAGAATGCAATGTTCGTTCTGAAGTTCTGTGGTGTAAAACTTTTTCTTTAAAATGAATTCTTCGACTGTGGGTGATGTACACTGTATACTAGAATGAACTTAACTTTCTGCGGCAGTGCCACTCAACTTCAACAGTACTTATTTTTTATGCCCTTCATTATATTCTTCATTTTATCGTACTAGCGAAATCTGATGGCCAACTCCCCAGCAACACGGAAATACATTACATAGTCACTAAAAAGTAAAAAAAAAACGAAGGGTACTCCGAGACCCGTGCATCTTAATATCGCTCTTATGTGAGTGCGGTCTTAAACAAATACGAACGCAGAAGTACGAAGTAAGAAGCATTAATATGGTAGGCCTCACCCGGCGCTCCTTAAAGGGACAAAGAAATCAACTTTCGGCTGGGACATAGAATCCTACACTGGGATTTTACTAATCACACGTCGTTTAGTTGGCTAAAAGAAAAGGGGGAGAAAGTCACAAGATTGGTTTTTGGGTAAAATAAAATTAGAAATATGGCGGAGTATTTTGCACCTTCCTTCTTTCGAAACTTTTCCGGAGTTTCAGTCCTTGGTACCCCAAGCACGTCATCCGAAAGAAGCTCACGCATCGACACAAGCACTGCGTCACCCGGATGTATGCGCTCGTCAACAATCGGTCCGCTGACAAATATTGCAATTCGCCTTCGAGGCCAATGAGTTCTTATAATCGCTTGCAAATGACAAGTTCCACGGTGTTCTTAAGAAGGACGATGGAAGCCTGGAGTCATCTTCCCGGTCGGCCAAGCACTTCACGACTGCGTGATTTCTCATTTCGATTTTGAGCTAATTATAAAGCGTTGTCTTTTCTTTTTTGAGGACAACGATTAGCTTCAACGTAGCTTTTATAGTATCGTGTTCAGAGGCAGAAACAATTACATAAAAGTGGTTTTTAGTGCGGGCACCTATAGGCACACAATTTCTTTTACGCGGAACATGGTGCAGCAGCTCACTTTGCTCTCTATGAAGGGGAAAGCACCAGTATCTAGCGAAAAGATGTTTACAATAGTTTATTTTTGAAAGAAAAATATCGTCATCAAGCCTTATTTTAAAGAGGCCACTAAGTAGTTAGTTAGATTCTCATAAAACCTAAGATATTGGAATTCCAAAAGAGACATGGAAACTCTACATATCCTCAATATAATGCATTAAAAATGTAATCATGATTGGAAGATTCTAAGGACCAAGAATTGATTGCACAACCTATTAAGACAAGTCACAGTTGGAAAACGAGAATAATGCTCTTGAAAGTACACAATATGTATATTCTTTATATATTCGCTGAAATTACGTTAAATGTCGCAACAAAAAGCATAGAGGCTCCAGGAAACGTCCAGAGTAGATACTAAAGGCTCACACTGTATTTTGGAAGTTTTCTGGCCCCTCTTACACGATATGTGCAGTCAGACATTAGCTACGCCAGCTATATCAGCTGTTTTCACACATCAGCATTTTAGTCTTCACGAGGTTCTGGTTGGGAGTTTTTGCTGTTGCGGCCTCAAATTTCTCTCCAGTGAAAAGGCATTGATGTTAGTAGGCTGATTATCGCGCAGATAATTACGGTTTTCAAGTTGGCGGTAAAACTTGTGCGAGCTCCCGCTGTCATAACTTCGTTTTTCGCTCATGCGTCTTCATCTGATGCAGCACATTTCGATGAAGACGTGGAAAGAAACCCACTTTGGGGCACTTTTTCTTCCCAATGTAGTTTGAAAGACTACTATAATCTCTTCTCTTTCCCAGCCGTCTCCCGGATGCGTAGGGAGTCTGCACTAAAGGGAAGCGAGGCAAATGACACCGCTCTCAAGTATCTTCAGCGCGCCAATGTCGCACATCACTGAAATCGCAGAACCATAGCCATGTATTCTGTATTCGTCTTGGAAGGACGCGATCTTTCTTTCCGTAACGCTGAGAAACATGAACGGTGCATCGACTGCGTCGGAACAGTTGCCTTTACCATGGTTAGGCTTATACAACGACGAGTACAATGACGTTGCACCTTTGACACTGTTTGATTGGTCCCATCGGGTCGTCGCGTCGGTTAAAGTAATGCTAATCTATGAGCCATGTACGAGGAAACCTCCAGCAATACAGACACTCCCGTGCCTTGGTCGATACGTTGTCGTAGAACACTGACAGTGCCAATCACCGCCATCATGTATGGAAGACTTTCGAGATAAAAGAAGTAAAAAAATGTTTTGTCCTAAAGTTAGTTTATGAAGTTGCTTAGAGCAGGACGTGTACACATGAAAAGGTTACCTGTCTCTCAGAAAGTTTTTTTTTCGTGGATCTGCTATTTGCACTCTCCTGTAATAGCAGCCCTTGGCTTTTTATGTGCGTCGTGGAAATCATCTATAGACCAGCGCTGATCACCCAAGCGGAAAATGCTAAGCCACTCGGCTGTCGCATGCGCGGCGCCTCCTATTTCGTGGATGAAAGCTACTGCTATGCTCAAAACGCGCCTCTTAGCCCAGTAGGCAAAAATGGCAGTGCGCAGAAGGCGATAGCTGGAAAGATCGAAAGAGAGTAATACCCCATTGCCACCATCATAAAGGTCCCCCTAGCTAAGGTACCTTTATGTTCGGTGGCGAATCAGTTCGCGATTCCCCACGCGTGGCATGTGCTTGTAACCCGAGAACGCTGGCTGCTTCGCCGATTGGAACGGGACTTATTTGAAACGTACCTTTATACTGGCCGTGTGAATGTAGTATAAGTTTTATTAGTTCCATCCTAACAACCCAAGAGCTCGCGGTGGCTTGACACAACATACGCATCGTTGACAATATATGAAACCAGGAAGAGCATTGTTTGTAATCTAAATATAGCCTGCGCCGATTAGGGAAAAGCCGGCGAAAGTATAGTGGTCCACCATTTGCCGCAAAGCGTACTAATGTCTCGAGGATACCATGTTATTTTTTGTTGCTTTCCTGGTTCCTAGTCAATTCAAAATCTCCCAGTTATCTGCCTCGTATGCACAGAAGTACCCAAGTAACTTAAGTGGGCAACGCGATTCGCCATATCAGTATCCACTCTGATTCCCATGAGTTTATTTCGCGCATTTCATGGACATCTTTTTTTATGTCGGGATGGAGGCTTACAAGAAGATTAAGGGAAGAACTTTGACACCAATATTCTACACGTAATATATTATTGTGCGTCCACTTTCCAGATGAACGCGAAAGTGGTTTATCACTGCAAACAACGACGGTGTCCCCGAGAGCGTGGGAGCTTAAAATAATAATATTATTAATTTCTTTATAAAACAAAAGAACAATGTTCATGTCGACAAAGTTAAGAAGGCTGTCAGGAACAGCATGATTATAGTTAAGCCTACCAGTTCCTTTAATAAAGCAAATGAAAATATAGTAATCTCATTCAACTTTTAGTACCTTAGATGCCCACGACAAATTTGTTGAGGGGGACGTGCAGGCGTTGCTTTTTTCTTTTTGGCACATCTCAAATCAATAGAAAATAGCACAAACGAAGAATAACATAATGTGGAATTATGAGTCATGAAAGGGTGTGCGTACAAATATTGAAATATCGTAGATGGTTACTGTTCAATGTGGAAGAATGTTCCAATAATTAAGCGAAAGCCGAAAAATATTTTGGCAAGGAATGAATGGCGAAAATCGATGAACCTACACTCTCAAGAACATATTTTATATTGAGACTACACGAAAATAGCTACGTGAACAAAAATAACGCCGTGCACTTTGTCACAGTGCACATTGCATTTTTCTTTCTGGCCTAATGGCATTCTCAGCTTCGTCGTTCAAGGAATCTTTGAGTTCTTCGCAGTCGTTGTCTACCCAAGTGCTCAAACTGGTCAAACACTGAGGCACTTTTAGAGTTTGCATTCTCAGAAGGACATGAGCATATACAGCACAGTATTTGACTCGAAATACCGAGCAGTGGTATTTCAGTGATGAGCTACGTCGTACTTTAAATATCGATCATCATTTTTTCTGGAATCAGCTGCGTTACACTGACAATACCGATCATTGGCTTTCAGTGATCAACTGTGTTTCTCTAAGAATACCGATCCTTGGACTTTTAGTAATCAGCTGCGTCGGACCAGAAGTACAGATCATTGGCCTCTTAATGACCAATACCAATCATTAACTTCTCACTGTTCAGGTGTGCTGCTCTCCAGATACGGATCAATCGCTTTTCAGTGCTCAGCTGTGCAACTCTCAAAATACCGAGCATCGGACTCTCAACAAATGAGTT